ATATAAGGCCTTCTATTTTTTTATTTGTTTTAATTTTAGTCCTTTCATTTCAATCTTTCTTAGACAATAATTCCTTTTTTTTTTATGAAATCAAACACCAATCTAAAAGCACAATGTTTTCTTGAAATTAAAATAACTATATAAAAAATAGATTGGAACAAATTAACAAATCTCAAATCTCAATCAATACAATATTAAAAGATCAAATTAAAAATTAAAAAAAAAATTGATGATTACAAGCAAAATAAAACAAATTTAAAAAAAAGGACCAAAGTGGCCATCACATTTTTAGAAAAAGCATATACTATTTTCTTTGTTTCAATTCTAGTGCACCTGTTTTAAATTTGATACAAACAATAAAATCAATTTTATTTTTTGTAAAATCATGTACAAGTTCGATGTTGAGATCTTTTTCTGATATCACAGTAATCAACAAAAAATAAATAAAAATAATTTATCAATCTTAAATTCCAATTAAAATACAAAAACTAAAATAAATTATCAACTCTAAATTATAATTAAAAAAATATTAAAGAATAAACTTAAAAATAAAAATAAAAAAATTGAAAAAGGAAGAAGAGAGAATCACTCTCCGTAGTGAAAACTATGGCTATGTTTGTTTCCCATAATTCACTTTTTGGGGAATCACTTTCCAAATCTGGCTATGTTTGTTTCCCATAATTCACTTTCTGGGGATTCACTTTCCAAATTTTTTTGTGTTTTTTTGCCATTAGAAAAATTAGTTAATGGAAAATAATTTCTAGTCAAAGAAAAATTTAGCTTGGTTTCTTGAAAAGTATTTTCTTGAAAAATTTGGACGGAAAACACTTTCTCGAAGTTGTAAAAAATTTAGAAATGTCATATTATTTGCTGATTATATCAAATTTGGTTCTCAAAATTTTCATTATTATGTATATCTTGTTTTGAATATTTATTTTTCAATTTTATTTCTTAAAATTTTATTTTTATATTAACTTTGATCCTTATTTTTATAATTGTTATTTGTTTTTTTTATTTTCTATTAAAAAATTTTATCTATCAAATCTGGTCCTTATTTTTTTTATTGTTACTTATTTTATTTGAAATAATTTATAAAATGCTAATTATTATTATTTTAATTTCTTTATCTTTCATTTTTTTAATATTTGATCTCAATTATTTTGATTATTATTTATTTTATTTGATATAATTTATGAAATTTTATTTTTTTTAATTTTATTTTCATCAAACTTTTTAATTTGTAATATTTGTTTCTCATTATTTTAATAAATTTGAAAAAAATAAAATATTAATAAATTATTTTCTAATTTATTTTTTATAATATAATCAAATATATTAATAAATTATTTTCTAGTTTATTTTCAAATTGTAGAAAATATTTTCTAATTTATTTTTCATAACATTATCAAATATAAAAAAATAATTTATCTTTAAAAAAATTATTTAAAAAATAACTTTTCTGTAAATAAAAAAGCTATAATCACTGGTTTTCTTTGTTTTTTTTTAACAACTATTCATTGAGATAAAGGGAGTGGATCCTTAAAACAAGAAAATACCAAATGTAGCCTCGCATGCGCGCATATATATATTTTGGTCAGTACGTGATGTGGACCTCACGGGGAAAGGGTAGTTGAGGCGGCAGTTGTGAATTCTTGTGACTCTCCTCTAATTTAGATAAATGGTGCTTACGGACGTTAGGAAATGGAAATAAATAGTACATTGGGGCAGATAAGGCACAGTTTGATGGTGATGGTGACCGGAGAGGATGATAATCAGGGAAGACTATAGGTGTCCTTGTATTTATATTTTATTTATTGAATAAAAAATTAAAAAAATTAAAAATTATTCATCATATTTTAAATATTTAATGGGTATCATTATATGTTGTTATTTACTATTAAAAAAAGCATAGTAATTAATATATATCCGAAGAATATGCATCTTAAAGATAGAATTTATGTTAATATTAAGATTCGTATATATCATATTATATTGAAATATTTTATAAATATATTTATATAATATAAATATATTTATATAATATAAATATATAATTCAGGTAAAGTTTAGCTTAATTTTGATAATATTCGTTCCTTATAAATTAATTATCTAAAAAATAACGACCTCTTAAAGTAGGTGCGGGTTGATGATATACATGGTTCGGATTAAATTTTAATGAGGCTGCTCACACACGCTTTGACGCACGTGGACTATTGTTGGCGGAAGTGCGGGGGGTTAAAAGCAGACTCACGTCCAACCCATGAGCATCTTTAAAGCCAAGTAAGGGAAGAAAATAAATGGAGGCAGCAAGAGGCGGAAAGCAACAACCTCCATTCAATTTCTCGTATGGGCTTCCCTCCCTTTACTCGCCACGTAAGGCCTAAGACACCACAACAAGAACTACTCCGCCTGTCCTTTCTCTCTTCTTCAATTTTCCTTGCCAGCTTTCCATTGGGGGAGTTATTATTCAATACAAGCGAGAATATCTTTCAGTTTCATATTCCAAGTCAAGATGATACTGAGCAAAAACGACGTGTCTTAATTTCCATTTATTAATAATAAACACCTGTCGCGCTTATAATTTATTTCCAATTCAACCTCACGGGCGTTACCAAACGGCAGGTATATTTGTGTTTTATGGGTCTATATACCGAACACCTGTAATTTATGAGTAAAGAAACTGCTTAGATCCTGGTCACGAACACCGACACCAGTTGCAATACTTGATTTCTTTTTTTTTTTTTTTTTTTTTAAAAAGGGAAAGCTGTGAAGGTAAATCTCAGGTGAATTGATGAAGTGCTTGTTCATACACCTCCATGCTATCATTTGAGTCAAATCTAGAAGCTGGAGGCTATGAGATAAAAACTTCATATAATTTAATGGAAGAAAATTAATACCCAGATAAACCTAATTAACGCTACCATGTACGAGCATGCATCTCATTTTCATCCATGTTTAATCATGGAGGCTCCTTGAATTCCATGATGCTCTTACTGAAATTAAGAAATTTTAATCATGGAGGCTCCTTGAATTCCACGATGCTCTTACTGAAATTAAGAAATCTTTATGGCCTCATTTTGCCAGGCAGGAAGAATAAATATTGATAGTTATTATTAATTGATGAGTGTGATCGTTTTTTTATTAATTTTTTTTTGTTAAAAACATATCAAAATAATAATATTTTTTATTTTTAAGATGAACACACTTTAAAGATTAAAAAAATAAAAACATTAATTTTCAAATTTTTTATACACATTTTAAAAAAATGCTGTTCCGAAAACGTTACCAAGAAACCTTATAAATTTTCGTAAAATCAATCAGAAGCTCAGCATTCCGACGCCTGGTGGCCTACCGAAGGACAATCAGTGGTGGTTTGACAGTGACGTCCTCAAAAAATAAGAAGATGGCCGTAATTGAAGGTCACGTCATTCGGAAAACAAAGTTACTCCTCCTATACGCCAAGAACAAAGTTCTTGTTTTTTATTTTTTTAGGGTTAATAAGTCATTTTCTTAGGATTAAAATTAATTATTAAAAAACATTAATTGTAAAACGAACGTTAACTAGTCAGAGTTGACCGTTGGCGTTGCGTCCCACATCGCTCCTCTTTCTTCTCTTACTCGGCCGCACCTACACTCGGAATCCAAAGAGGATCAGAAAAAACTGTAACAAAATTACTGCAATACCCTTCAACGCCATGGCAATATCAAGGATACCCCCCCTCTGCTTGCGTACCAGGAATTTAATGCTCTATTGTTCAAAAACATGAAAAAAGAAATCTATGGCTCCATGAAACTTGGTAATCTTGATTCTTGTCATGTATAAAAATGCCAACAAAGACCATGTGATCCTGCTCATGCTTACATGCTACCATGTAGTGGTCCTTGCCATAAGCGGTAGAGAAAAATGCTCATGCCATTACGGGCCTAGCTGGGGGGTGTTTACGTCATTGGTTGATTTAATTCTGGGAAAATTATAATTTTGGAAGAAAATAAATAGCATGCGAGGTCAGATAATTTAGATTAAAATGAAGGGCTGTTTTCCATTTTTGCATTGCGTGTGCTGGCATTGGGACAGTCCATCCCATTGACGCTGACACCACCAAATCAAATCCAAGAGATTAAATCACACCACCTCATTCACAATCAACAAAATACTGTTTTTTAATTATCCCTTTTTATATTTGACATGATAATTATATTTAAAATATTTTTTAATTAAAAATATATTCTTTAATTTTTTAAAATTAAAATTTGATATTAGCAATCTTAAATATAAAAAATTAAATGAAAATAAAAAAATATAAAAAATTTTAAAAATATTTTTTTAACTGCAAAGACAATGATGACGCAGAATAAAAATAATGTGAAGTCACGAGGTAAATTAGGTGAACAATTGACAATATTAATACGTTAGCTGCACTAATCAATAATTCATCAGCAAAGGCAGACCCACAGAAGTAATGCAAGAATGTTAGACTACAAGTCTGAAATCAAAACCATGTTGTCATTCTCTCCATGAACAGGCATCTTTGCTACCGTATATGGGGCAATTACAGCCTACTACGCTCCCTTTTTTACCCCTCGACACGTGTCCTTTCCTGCCCTCGATCAGCCCTTTTTATTAAAATCTCGCATTAAGTTCTCCTATTATCGCATTAAAAACTAAGGTTTGACCAACTGAATTTATTTCTTTTTAGTCGTGCCAAATTAAAAACCATTATTATTTTTATTTTAATAAGGTGTAATTCCTTGCAAGAATTTATTATTAATACTACCATTATTATTATTTTAATTACAACGACATGCATGTTATTATTTTTTACATTTGAAAGACTTAAAGCTGCTTCGACTATGTGCACTGTTCCCTTACCACAGAACATAGCTTCACTGGCTACGATAATTAATACTGTAATTAATCAATTACAAGAAGCTTCTCTTTCAATTTTTATTTGAATTTATTTATTTTTTCTGGCACTTTAAAGATTAAAAAAAAAACAAGTGTCAAGACTTTCTAAAAGAGTGTCAGTTCTTACAAAAGAGAGGGATCCTTGGAAGAAAAAGAGAAACCTCACATGCCTCCTCCTTCGTAGATCTGCCACCTCTTTCTCTTCCTCTTTATCTGCCTCCCCTGCTTTCCATCTCCACTCTATCTGCATTTGCTTCTCAACCCGATCTCTTTGGACTCCGTTTCCGTCTCCAATTGGACTCACAAACCAGCACCATTACCCACCTGTACACTCACACTGACTGACCGTGACTCTGTATATTATATTATAAATTTTGGTCGCATTGGTGATGCGCCGGCGAGTTTGGCCGGAATCCCGTTGAGTGACTGGATTTTCCGGTGGAGAAAATGTTCAGGTCGTCGAGATGGAGGGGCGAGAAGAACAAGATCAAAACCGTCTTCAAGTTGCAGTTTCATGCAACTCAGGTACTTCAACCGGCAAACATACTACTTTTGTTTAACTTTGTACTTGTAACTGTCTTTTGTTTTTCAATCTCTGACATATAATATTTTGAATTGAAGTTCATATTTTTACTGTTTCAGTTCTAACTTTATAGATAACTGCTGTTCCGGTGAAAGATTTGAGCTTTTTTTTTTCTTTTTTTTAATGAAATCCTGGTGATGGGTTCAGTTCGAGAAAGAAAAATGAGAAATTTGAAAGGTAGAGTCTGCATCAGGAACAACCTGATAAAGAAACCAGAAAATGTCAACAAGTCGAGCCTTATGTATTTTAGTTCATTCAATGTTGAGTTAATTGGAGAATTTGAGTCCTGAAATATTGATGTCAAATGTGATTGATGTCAAATTAAGGATTCTTAATTTGTGGGTGATCTGTGAATGTAGCTGCCGCAACTGAATGTGAATGCATTGGTTTTATCTGTGGTTCCTGGAGATGCGGGGAAGCCAACAGTGAGTTTAGAGAAGGGTATACTCAGACAAGGAAGTTGTCGATGGGACTATCCGGTTCACGAAACAGTGAAATACATTCGTGATGTGAAAACAGGGAAGATCAATGAGAGAATATACCATTTTGTGGTCTCAACTGTAAGGAATTTTACCTAAAAATTTTACTTCTATTGAGCAACTTCTTATTCAATGTTTGCAATGTGATCGGACTTTTTGGATATTTGTAGGGATCGTCAAAAAATAGTCTGGTAGGAGAGGTTTCAATAGATTTTGCTGATTATGCAGAGGCGACTAAAGCTTCCACAGTTTCTCTTCCTTTCAAGAATTCAAAATCTAATGGGGTATTGCATGTGAGTTCTCTTGTCTCTCTGTCTCGTTTGTTTATATCTGTCTCCAATATAATTCTTAGTTCCCACAAGTGATAAGTCCTTCCTTGCCAATAGGATTGATGAGAACTTTCACGTTGTAATTGAAATTCAGAATTTAACTTCAGTTGTTGGTTTTCAATAGGTTTCAATTCAGAGGCTGCAAGAAAATGTTGAGCAAAGGTAAAGATGAAATATCACTTGCTATTGTTAAATATTTCAAATTTCTTTATTTTTCTTTGAAGGGTTAATGAATTTTGATTTTTCTTTCTTTTCTAAAATCTTTTGCAGTGAAGTGATGGAAGGTGAAGATGCAAATGTAAAATCCCAGAGCAGAACATTGAACACCCTATTAAGCAATAGTAACATAGATGAGGGTATTGATAGTCATTCCAGTAAAGTAAGTTTTAAGTTTAGTGCCAGAAATCATCTCTGTAGTTCTTACGATTTTTAAATTAGAAAGCTCGTCACTAAATTTGGGAAAATTAAATAGCATGCAACTTTTGAACCCCCTTTTAGTTTTCTACTTCTCTAATTTTATAGATGGTTGATGAAAATATGATGGGTTCACTTTTCATTGTTCTACAGGATGGACCACTTATTAATGGTGCCCACACTGCTGATTTAAATGTCAATGACAGAACTTCTAGTGGATCTGACATTACAATGTCAAGTTCTGAAACTAGCTCTGGGCTCAATACCCCACGAGAACTTGGATTGAGAAACAACATGCTACAGGACCCCATTAGCTTTCTATCGTCTCAAACCCAGACTTCAGCACCTCACCTGTCAAAACCAAATGCTCCTGCAGCAAACTATGGAGAGCATCGGCAACAGCAATGGGAGTTGTCAGCGGATTCTGATCATGGGACAAGTACTGATGACTCAACAAACAGTTCTCAAGGCAACCTTACAAGAGAGAGATCTCAACAGGTGTCAGACATGGATATGGAAAAGCTGAAGGCTGAACTTGTTATGTTGTCAAGACAGGCAGATGTGTCAGAGATGGAAATACAAACTCTGCGAAAGCAAATTATTAAAGAGAGCAAAAGGGGGCAGGATCTCTCTAGAGAAATCTTGGGATTAAAAGGGGAGCGAGACATGCTCAAGTCAGAGTGTGAGAAACTCAAGGCATTTCAGAAATGCATGGAGGAGGCAAGAAGCAAAAACAAATCGCAGTTTGAAGGTGGCGATCCATGGGTTCTTCTTGAAGAAGTTCGACAAGAACTAAATTACGAGAAGGACCTAAATTCCAACCTCCGGCTACAGCTGCAGAAAACGCAGGAATCAAATGCTGAGTTGATACTTGCTGTGAAAGACCTTGATGAAATGTTAGAGCAGAAAAGTAAGGGAACATCTGACCTTTCCAACAAAGCAAGATCCTATGAGAATGCTATCTCAAGAAGCGAGACTGATGATGATGAAGACCAAAAGGCACTGGAAGAACTTGTTAAGGAGCACAAGGATGCTAAAGAAACTTATCTGTTGGAGCAAAAGATTATGGACCTCTGCAGTGAAATAGAAATCTACAGGAGAGATAGAGATGAGCTGGAGATGCAAATGGAGCAGCTTGCACTTGATTATGAGATATTGAAGCAGGAGAACCATGACATGTCATATAAATTAGAACAAAGTCAGCTGCAAGAACAGCTGAAGATGCAGTATGAATGCTCCCCTTTGTTTCACAACATTAACGAACAAGAAGCTCAGATTGAGAGCTTAGAAAATGAACTGAAGATGCAGTCAGAGGAAAACTTTGATTCTTTGGCCACCATAAAGGAACTAGAAACCCATATCAAGAGCTTGGAGGAAGAATTGGAAAAGCAGGCCCAAGAGTTTGAAGCTGATCTGGAGGCTGTAACACGTGCAAGAGTTGAGCAGGAGAAGAGAGCCATTCAAGCCGAGGAAGCCATGCGGAAGACAAGATTGAAAAATGCTAATGCAGCTGAGAAGCTGCAGGAAGAATTTAGAAGGCTGTCCATGCAAATGGCATCGACTTTTGATGCAAACGAGAAGGTAGCTATGAAAGCGCTTGCTGAAGCTAGTGAACTACGTATGCAGAAAGTTCAACTGGAAGAAATGCTTCAGAAAGCTAATGAGGAGCTCCAATCAATTACGGATGGCTATGAGTCAAAATTGCATGATCTTTCCAACCAACTGAATTTGAAAATGCATCAGATAGAACAGATGATGATGGAAATTGAGGATAAATCCAGAGTGCTTGAACAGCTAAAGAAGCTGGATGAAGAACGTGCCGGGGCTTCATCCCAGGAAATCCAAGGCTTAAAAACTGAGCTTGAAATGCTCGCAATAGAAAACAATAACCTTTTGAAGCAAGCAGAACATAAAGAAAGTATGAGTTTAGAGCTGGAACAAATGAAGACATCAATTAAGCACACTGGAGCACTGGTACAAAAGGGAGATATGGAACAGGATGAACTGGTGGGTACAATTTCTTTGTTGAAGAAGGAAGCAGAGAAGTCACTGGTGGAGTTAAATAGGATGAGATGTCTCAAGGATGAGAAGGAAGCAGCAATGAATGTCTTGCAATCAGAGGTGGGAATGCTTAAAGCTCAGTGTGATAACTTGAAACATTCTGTGTTTGAGGATGAGTTGGAAAAGGAAAAACTTAGAAAGCAGTTAGTCCAGTTAAAGAGCGAGCTGAAGAAGAAGGAAGATGCTTTGAACAGCATGGAGAAGAAAATCAAGGAAAGCAGCAAACGCTCAGTAGTTTCTGAAGGAACAAAGACTAATCTGAGAAACAACAAGTCTGCTCCAGTTCCTTATGGCTCTAAAGAGGTGGCAAATCTGAGGGAGAAAATAAAATTGCTCGAGGTAAATGTTCGTTTCTGAGTTTTCCAGTAAATTTATAGTCTTAACAAGAAAATGCAAGGCCAAATTATTAAGTATTGGTGATAACAACGGTCACTGGTGTGTCAAGATGGACAAGCTCGTTTATGATCTTCCCCTCGTAGTTTTTGGTTTGGCAATTTCTAGTTCACTCTGATTTATGATTCTGTCCTTCATTTGGTTCAATTGCGGTAGACTTGAGAATACTCCCTTTCTTGATTTTGTATGACAGGGACAAATTAAGTTAAAGGAGACTGCTTTAGAAGCCTCTGCAAGTTCGTTTGCAGAGAAGGAAAGGGATCTTCAAAACAAAATTGAAGAGTTGGTTAGCAGATTGGAAGAACTCAACCAGAATAGTGCAATTTTCTGCTATAACCAACCTCAAAAGGTTAGCAATTATATGTAAATATAATGTGAATCGGGAATTATATGTTTTTGTGTTCTGTTTGTGCTACTCAAACATCTAGGCATACACGAGTTCTATACTACGTAAGGGATAGATGAAGTTCCTTTTGTGATGTATGATCTTTTTTTAACCAGTTGTCTATCTAGACGGTACTGCTATATTTTTCTTTTAAATTCATTAAATGTGCAACGTAATACTGTTTCTTTATCTTAAATGTTTATCCTTCAATGCAGGTATCTGACGACGACATTGGAGTTAATTCAAATGGTGATGTAGCTGAAGATTATAGAAAGACGGATGAAAATCCAAGCAGTTCATGCAAAGAAAATGGGAATTCAAGATTGTTAATCAAGAGGTATGATTTGGAAGAAGCAGTAGTTCTATTTGAGCTGTTTCTGTGCTCTAGCTTTGGTCCTAGCTTGTTCTTCTACATTGTGATTGAATTCTTTTCCTGTTTCATTCCAGCGATCATTCCACTGCAGCAGAGCAAGAACCAAAAGCCTCCTGCTGTATCAATAACACAGACCACAATGCTGAGAGGTTGTTGAGTGAACTAGTGACATTGAAGGAGAGAAACAAATCGATGGAAAATGAACTGAAGGAGATGCAAGAGAGATATTCGGAAATAAGTCTCAAGTTTGCAGAGGTAGAAGGAGAAAGACAACAGCTTGTGATGACCCTGCGAAATCTTAAGAATGCCAGAAAGAGCTAATATTTTTTTCTTGATATTATCTTATACAGAACCTATATACTGTGTATAGTTGTGCAGTGGGATGTGCTGCAATGAGAATGTAGTGTTGTTTCCTTTGGAAGAATGAATAATCAATCTGTACAAAGTAATACGGAAGTTCAAAAAAATCCCGAGTGTAGGGAAGCCATTTTTTATTAAAATCCCGATTGTAGGGAAGCCATTTTTAATTAGGTGTCCAGATGATTTTGTTCTTTTTTGTAATTTTCTGAAAGCTTGTCATGTTGTTGTGACGTTTGTTCATTAATATATTCTTTTCATTGTTCCCTTGGTGATCACAGTTGTTCCTGTTACGCTGGAAGTGCTTGCCTTTCGGTGATGGCTGGGGAGGAGAGGGTAAATCAATGAATGTAGAATGAGAAAGCTTAAGCACGTCTGGGCCTAGAACATCAGGCCCAATCGCCGAGCTATTTTTTATTTTTAATTTTAAAAAAGGGAGCTACACGACATCCACTGTAATATGTGATTTGCTGTTCGGTCACCTGATTTAAAAAAAAAATTAAAATCCTTGTTTTTAGATTTTAAAAATTTATTTTAAATTTTTTTATTTAAAAATACCTAATAAATATTATAAAAACCTATTTTCAACCTCAAATCACCCTTTAATAACTTAAAAAACAAAAACTAAATGAATAAAAAAAATTACATTTTATAAATTTAGAAGGGGAGCATTACTGTAGGAGACCCAGACCTGTACATTGTACTTGTATTATATTGACTTCAAAAATCCATTCCACCGCTATTTTTAGGCCTGCTTCTGCTCTCTTTTTATAATTATCAGAGATTTCATTAAATATCACATCATTAGCTGCAAATAAAATAATAATAATAAAAAACAACGAATTAATGGTGTAATTGAAACTTCTATTAGATTAGGGAGCAGATTAAACCATTATAATATTTGAAGAACCAAGATGTAGTTTGCCTTTCTATAAGTTCTTGAAAATCTCCCTGACTAGGGTTTATCTCATGCCCTTCTCCCTCCCTCAGCTCTGTAACGATGGAGAATCCCTCACCAGCACCTCCATCAACTACTCAATGCTGGAGTAACATAGTAAAGAACCACCAACCACCACCACCGCCAGCACCATCACAGCAACAGCAAGACCAGTTGTATGTGGAGAGTTGTAAGTCGACACACGGCATATCAGTGGCGGTTATTGATGCAAACGCCATCATACAGGGTGGAGAGAAGCTCAACAACTTGGCCGACAAGTTCGTCACCGTCCCTGAAGTCCTCGCTGAGATTCGCGATCCTGTTTCTCGCCATCGACTTGCTTTCATTCCTTTCTCAATTGATTGCAGGGAACCCTCCCCTGATTCCCTCAATAAAGGTAAAAACCCCCCCATCAATTTTGAAAAGTAGTGGATGATTTGATGGATTTCTGTTTAGATTGCTTGTGTAATTATTTGCTATTAATTTGCAATGAAAAGGGGAGCAGCTGTATTATAAGAAAATATGTCACGGAGCGAACTTGGGGTTTAGTCTCATGTGTTTTATATACCTTTGACAGTTATCAAGTTTGCGAGAGCAACTGGAGATCTACAGACTCTATCTGATGTTGATCTTAAACTCATTGCATTGACATATACATTGGAAACGCAACTTCACGGGACTAAACATATTAGGGATGCGCCACCCCCTGTCCATACAGTCAATGTGAAGAGGCTGCCTGAAAAGGACATGCCAGGGTGGGGTTCTAATGTTCCTAATTTGGAGGAATGGGAAGCTTTGGAACAAGAAACTGGAGATGGGATAGATCCCAGCTCGAAAATTCTTCCTTTAAAAGACATAAGCTTGAACGTTATGCCTGCTGATGACCAATCTGAAGATGGTTCGATGGGGACTGGAGGGGAAGCAAATTCCGAGAATTTTGAAGATGTTGAACATGGTTCGAGGAAGCCCAGGAGATTTCCACCCAAGAAAAAAGACATAAATCTTGAAGGGAAAAAGATGGTTGCAGGTGGAATTGATGCATCGCAGGGACAATTTGATGATAATGCTGGTGATTGGATGCCTGCTGTTAGTCGAAGTACTCATAGAAGATATCTTAGAAGAAAAGGTAGACGTGAATTTAATGAAGTATTATTAGAGAAAGATAGCCAGCAAGATCTAGAGAAAAGTATGGATGACAGCACTATTGAGGTAGCTAGTGTCCCAGATCAAGTGTTACATCAAAGTGTGATATCTGAGGAGAGTATGATGACAGAGGTGAAGAACTGTGATGGTGATGTTTCCTTGATTTTAAAACAAATGAGGCTGGAAGAAGGTTCACTGGAGGCTGCTCAAGGTGAGAAAGGAGAGAACAGTACTTCTGGAGAGACAGAGATTAACAATTCTAGGGACATGGAAGCTACCTTAGATCGCATTGAAAACATTGATGTTGAGACGAGAAGAGTTGATATTGCCAGTGCAGAATCAGATCACTTGGAGATCTCAAGCCAGATTCACGAAAGTGTTGATGCATCATATTCAGATGATAATGATAGCGAGCAAAGCTGGATGGTCAGATCCTTATCTGAGTCAAGTGTAGCTTGTGTAACTAGTGACTTTGCAATGCAGAATGTACTTCTGCAAATGGGCTTACGACTGCTGGCACCTGGAGGAAATCAAATCCGCCAGTTGCATAGGTATACAATTGTTGTTCATGTTTGTATTGGTTTCCCAATTATCTTTTACTTTCTTGACTGGATCATTGTGGTTATATTCCATCTTTAAAGACATCTGCACTTGCAGGTGGATACTGAAATGCCATGCCTGCTATACTGTCACAGCTGAAATTGGGAGGATATTTTGTCCCAAGTGTGGAAATGGCGGCACTTTAAGAAAGGTTGCTGTAACAGTTGGTGAGAATGGAATTATTTTGGCTGATCATAGGCCACGGATTACTCTGCGTGGTACAAAAGTAAGTATATTCCTACGGAAGGAAATAAAGAAATCTATTCAAGCAACCAGTAGAAAATCTTAGATCCACTTTGTACCTTGTTTTAATTCTGGGGAGATATGTATAATACATTTATGCAGTTGTTTCCATCTTGCATTTATTGCTTAGCTTATTCTGGTCTGTGCTTCTGACCATTGGTTTATAGTACTTTCTTGTTCTGTGGGTTCTATTACTTGGCTGACTGTGATTTCTACTTGGGGATGGTTTTCCATGGCCATGCATGGAAGGCTTCTTATCCTTTGCATCATGTTGGAAAATCTGTACCATGCTAGCATCCATGCTCCTGCCCCACAAAACTGTCACACACACACAACATTCTTCTCCAGTGATAGTGCAAGGAGTGTTCATTGATTTTTCATGAACCTTAGAAAGCTTGCATGAGAGCCGCCCATTATGCCTTCTGTTGTTCAGTGTCTGTTGTGTGTGTGTAAGAAGTGCATGGACTGGACATGTTGGATGTTCTTTTTTTGCCACTAATTTGTTTGAAGTCCTTCTGCCCATATATGCTTTGACATTTTGCCCCTTGCAGTTTTCACTGCCTTCACCACAAGGTGGGAGGGATGCCATCACTAAGAATCTCATTCTGCGCGAGGATCAGCTACCACAAAAGTTCCTCTACCCTAAAACGAAGAAGAAAGTGAATAAGGAGGTTGGCTTCTTTGTTGTTTGCATATATCTTCTTGCTTGTGTTTAATTAATTCCAGACTAATTTATATAAATCTAACCATGTAGGGAGATGACATCTTCTCGGTTCGGGATGACATCTTTGGCCACCATACTGATAAAAAAACTCCTTTCCGGCCTCCCATAAGGCAAGCATTAGCAGTTTTTAGTGGGAAAAGGAATCCAAATGACAATCACTATGCTCGTCCTAAGCACTGACGTTGCTTTTGATTGTCTTTTTTTGTTTTTGTTTTTTTTAATTTAATTTGACTTGGACTTGTTGTCTACTGTGGTTTATTTTATAGTTGCTGCTTGCGAAATGATTATCAACATTTATGTTTGAGTCTTTAGTGAGAAGTTAATAATTGTCATGTACTGAAAGTTTGTGCTCCGAAAGAGCACGGTTTTGGTAGTTCTGTGCGATTGATATGATACTCAAGCTTCATTTCTTCCAGCAATAACTGGTGTATTACTTTCAAGCAATAATCTACTGATGAAATTCGTAACCTGTTTCTTTTAACCATGCATTTTGTACATGGTTTATTTTTATTATAGAAGATAAGTTAGCTAAAAATCCATGTATTTAAATAGTGCCAACATAAAACCAAAGTAATGGACAGAATGACGGGAATGAACTAGTAGCATGGTGTGATTTTGCGTAGAAGTGACCGCCTTCTGTTCTCTTACTCCGCCAACATTTCTTGCACACCAAACACTCCAAAGCCCGGAGAAAACGGTGACAAATCCAGATGCAATTCCAATATTAATCCCACGTGACATGCCATTCTCTCCGCGAGCTTTTAGAAGTAGGGTGCCACAAAGTTCAGAGTTGCCCGTGTAGCTGAGTTTGGTAAGCTCTGGACCTTAAGAGGAAAGCTCTATCATGCTCGACCTCGTATCAATATATTTCAAGGAAGAAATGCTATAAAGCCACTGCAGATCGGTCATACACAGATAGTTCATTGATAGCCAAGTTTGTGAGGTTTCCAAGCCGATGAGAATCCATTCTGCAACTCTCGAGCTAGGAAGGATGTGATATCTTGGACTTCTCACTGAACCATAAAAATCTGGGACACTTTGCATGGTTATTCCATCTAAGATCCAAGCAATCTAGATGCTTCAACTCGACAGAAGGATTTAGGTCACCAGCTATAATATATTCTCATGCTTTATATATATACATAGTGTTTCAAAACGCCAGATTTTGGAGGTCAAGCATGATAGTATGCCCAATGATGGTATCACACTCTATAGCTTCCCATCTACAACGGTCTTCCTCACCAACCCAAGATGACAGCCTGTTTTGCTTTCAGAATTGCCTAAAAGACATTGCTTGAATGGTAGAGTCGTTCCTCTGTTGTTCATGCAACTGTTAATTAAAATTGATTTCTGAAAGGGCAAGAAGGTTGGAACCCAAGTTGACCCACGAAGAAGCAAAGAATTAGATAGATTTGCATGGAACTCTAGGTCTTCAAAGAAATTTATATTGATTAGCTAATAAATTCTTCAGCCTGGTCAATCGAATCTCCGGCTAGGTAAAATTTCTGTTTCATCTTTTTTTTTTATATATATATATATAAATCCTTCATTAAAGTCAATTGCCAATATATTTCTTTTATTTCAGTGCTTGCTGATGTTTGTCATTTGCTTGATGTCTGTAACAAGGTTTT